CGGTCTCGAAGATAACCAGGTCCGCTGCCATGGAGCGCTTTAAAGATCATAGTCAGCACCTTGAAGCGCACCCGGAAGGCTACCGGCAGCCAATGCAGCTCGCGCAGAAGCGGCGTAACGTGGGAGCGACGAGTCCCTCCCAACACCGCCCGCGCGGCTGCATTTTGAACTAGCTGGAGCCTCCGGGTGCTCCTCAAGGCATACCTTGTATCTGTTAAGAGGTTGTTGAGCTGCTGCAGCATCGAACCACTCAGACTCTTTTCATCCATCAGAAGCTGTTCCACCCAAGCCAAGCTGCTCTCCAGGCTGCGCAGGCGGCTGTTGCTGGCTTCGGGTATGGGGCCACCTTCCTTCAGGGCCCGCACTCTATCCTGAAGCCTTTGCAGCTGTTCGTTGAGCTGATTCAGCACCAGGTCCCACTGGCTGAATCATGTATGGCAGGGAGAACAGTGGGGAAAGTTCTTCTGGAAGCCACGTTGGCACTGGTTACAGTTTCTCCCCGTAAAGCCACCACGGCATAAACAATGTCCGGTGAGGCGGTCGCACTGCGGGCTCTCTGAACCGATCGGGTCACATTGACAAGCTGCAGAGAGCAGAGACGGAGGTCATGTCCAATAAAAGTAAATTATTATTATTATTATTATTATTATTATTATTATTATTATTTATTGAATTTATAAACCGCCCTATCTCCCTTACGGGACTCAGGGCGGTGAACAGGCGATAATAAAAACCACGATAAATATACACAAGTTTCTGTTCTAAAATCAAATTAAATAACAGGCCTGCTCTAAAAGTACCCCATACAAAACCCCCACTAAAACATAATCAAACTACGCCAGGCCGGCCACACGGAATAGATGGGCCTTCAGGGCTCGGTGAAAAAGGCGCAGGTCCACAACTGTACGTAGGTCGAGGGGTTCAAAGTTTTTATGGTCACACTGCTCTGCAGTCACATGGTCAAACTTTGGGCACATAGCAGTATGGCTGGATTTATCACCCTTCACAGCTCCTCTGGCCATGTGACAATAATAATAATAATAATAATAATAATAATAATAATAATAATAATAATAATAATAATAATAATAATAATAATAATAATAATAATAATAATAATAATAATAATAATAATAATAATAATAATAATAATAATAGGATCTTCTTCTTCTTCTTCTTCTTCTTCTTCTTCTTCTTCTTCTTCTTCTTCTTCTTCTTCTTCTTCTTCAAGAAGAAGAAGAAGAAGAAGAAGAAGAAGAAGAAGAAGAAGAAGAAGAAGAAGAAGAAGAAGAAGAAGAAGAAGAAGAAGAAGAAGAAGAAGAAGAAGAAGAAGAAGAAGAAGAAGAAGAAGAAGAGACAAGAAAGAACTGGAGAAGATAACAAAATACAAAGACCTACAAATAGAAATAGAAAGACTGTGGCAAAAGTAAGCAAGAGTAGTACCAATAGTAATAGGCGCCTTGGGTGCAATCCCAAAACAACTGGAGCATCACTTGAATACCATTGGGATTGACAAATTCGCCATTAGTCAATTGCAAAAGGTGGCCTTACTAGGAACTGCTTCCATCCTGCAACAATATCTGTAATACCATCAAACATCCACATCTGCCTATCCCAGGTCCTTGGTAAGGACTCGATAGGTAGACAAAAATGCCAAATCCAGTCTGAACATCTGGCTGACTGTGCGATGATCCATAATAATATTAATAATGTTGGAAGGGACTTTGGAGCAAACTATCCCATAGTGAACCGTGGTGGAAACCAGAGATGACTCAATCAATGTACCTGTTTTTTCACTTTACACTTTCAACTCATATTTGGCAAGCTTCGGATTCCTCGTGTCCCACCACAACATGATAGAAAACAGCCACTCCCGAAAGGACTTGGGTGGAGAAAGGAAAGTCACTTGTTTTCCTTGCTGAGTTTTAATAACTTAATCTTCCCTTCATGGGAAGCGAAGTTGGATGCTTCTGTGGGGAACCACACCTCTGGCATTCCCAGAAATTTCCCAATCGGCCACACTCTATCTGATAATAACTTTCTGGGATCCATTCCAGCTTTCTCTTCTTTCCACCTTGTGCTGCTCCCAGCATGATTCCCATGCCAACTTTTTCAAGGTTCATGCAGGGATTTCCCCTGTGTGAAAGTAATTTCTTGGGGTGAAGCTGGTCTATATACTGGCTATTGCCATTTACCACCCTGTGTCAAAAGCTGTGCAAAAAAGGAACGAAATAAAGCCATCATGACTTCATGTACATGAAGTGGGGTGTTGTTGTTTTTTTAAAAATAAAATTGTCAATTTTTTAAGGTGGTGTAATGGTTAGAATGCAGTATTGCAGGCAAACTCTGCCCACAGCCCAGAGTTTGATCCTGCTAGGGCTCAGGGTTGATTCAGCCTTCCATCTTTCCGAGGTTGGTAAAATGAGGACCCAGATTGTTAGGACATTATGCAAATAATACTGACATTGTAAACTACCCAGAGAGTGCTGGAAAACATTATGGGGTGATATATAAATCTAAATGCTATTGCTATTAAGAGGATTTTTAATGAAGTATTATGCCTGGAGTCATAGTGTTTGAGTTCAGTGACTATATAAATTTAATAAAAAAGATAAATAATAACAATAGCACTTTGCTATTGCTAAGCTGTATAGCACTCTGTAAGTGGTTTGCAGAGTCAGCCTATTGCCCTCAACAATCTGGGTCCTTATTTTATTGACCTTGGAAGAATGGAAGGCTGAGTTAGGATCAAACTCCTGGCAGTGAGCAGTGAGTTAGCCTGCAATACTGCATTTTAACCACTGAGCCACCATGGCTCATATAAAATAAAACATTGATATGGCCTGAACTACTATGACGATCCATGACAGTCACTCGAGAAATGTGGATTGTTGAAAATTTGACATGAAATGCATCATTGATTAGTTTTATACAGCCACCCAGCTCACATACTCTGGATGTGCAACAAAACAATCAAATAAATATAATTAAGATTAATTAAAACAGTTATAAAGAAGACTGTGGGAGAATGGACCCACAGCCTTCATCTTGTGGGCATCCTACTTCCCTGAGATCTTATTGAAAGAACCTGGGGTTTTAAGAGATTTCCTAGATGGGAAATCTAGAGGGGGGAATTTTTGGGGAATTATATTCCAGATGGCAGGTGCCAAGACAGAAAAGGTCCTGTCAGATAGAACACTTTGCAGCAAGCAGGATCCTGTACCGTGCCTGTTCTGCAGGATCTGATATATGTAATGGAGTAACAACAGGAATTATAAGAAGAATGTCACTGATTTGCATTAGAACTGAAGACCATTGCATTAGAACTGAAGACCATTAGAACTGAAGACCATTGAAAAGAAAATTTTACTTTTCATTTTCTTTAGCTGAAATCATGATCCAAGTTTCCCCTGACGCTGCTGCATAATACTAATAGCTGTTTTACCATCCCTTGAACCTTGTTAGTTTTTCATATCCAGCTGATGAAAAATTGAGTAGGGAGGGAAGAATTAAACCTCCCATACCTTGCAATTCTGATGAAAATCAAATTATTACACCTTAAAATAACTCCAAGGAGCATCTCAGTCAGGGTGGAAATTCACAAACTGTGTGAAGCCTCCCAGCTCTACTGGAAGAAAAATACGTATCCCCTTGCTTTTTTTTTGTATTTAGGGCTATTTAAATATTGAAATGTTAAAATGTGGTCAAGCTTCTCCCAGGCATGGCTCTAATTCCAGATGTTTCTGCTTATTTGGAAATAAGCTTATTCAGCAGGATACTCACTGACATGGTTTCACAAGATTAAAATTTAAGGAGAACCAGTCATCATTTGGGTAGTGGTACCACAGATAGTCCTCGATTTAAGACTTATGACCATTTGAACCTAAGATGGATCCAGAAGAAACAACTTACCATCTGGATAAATTGGTATATAAGTTAAGCACCATTGCTATTAATAATCACCACAAAAAAAAAGTTCATGAAATCAGGTGTGGTCACATGATGATCTGCTTACTGACTTACTGGTTGTGAGCTCAATTATAGTTATAAATAGAGGACTACCTGTATGCCTTTATTCAGTGATGTACCCAGAGTTGTGTTCTAAGACTATACAAATCTAATAAATACATAAATAAATACATCGCAATTCTTTAAAAACCTTAGGGCTTTCTTAGGTTTATTCCACTCTCTGTACATTCAAGAGGATTCATATTGCTTTCTCCCAATGTACACCAATCAAAAATTGCAGTGAAAAATTGAGAAGGGGAAAGGAAAGAGGAGGAGGAGGAGGAGGAGGAATAGTTTTTTCAATAGCAGGAATGTGCTAGGAGGCAAAAGCTTTCAATCAATCAAAGTCTTGTCAGTTTCAGGTAGCAAGTCAATGAAGGGTACAATCAATTAATTAATGTCATAGAACTGTGTTTGTTAACTTGCAATTAGTAATTGTTATTAGCGGTTAGCTTCCCAACGGAGAAAAACTGCCAAGGAAGATACTCAACAAGTCAGACAATATAGGTCTGTCCTCAACTTAGAAGGACATGAGCCAGCAATGTGTAGCAGCAGCCAAAAAAGCTAATACAATCCTGGGTTGTATAAACTGAGGCATAGAATCAAGATCATGACAAATATTAGTACCACTTTATAAACCCCTAGTGAGACCATACCTGGAATACTGCAACCAATTTTGGTCACCATACTACAAAAAAGATGTTGAGACCTTGGAAAGAGTTCAGAGAAGAACAGCTAAGATGATCCAAGGCCTGGAGACTAAAACATATGTAGAACAGCTGCAAGACTTGAGTTTGGCTAGTCTAAAGAAAAGAACTAGGGGTGACATGATAGCAGTATTCCAGTATTTTAGAGGCTGCCACAAAGAAGAAGGGATCAAATTATTCTCCAAAGCACCAGAGGGCAGGACAAGAAACAATGGTTGGAAATTAATCAAAGAGAGAAGCAACCTGGAATTAAGGAGAAAGTTCCTAACAGTGAGGAGAATTAACCAGTGGAACAGATTGCCTTCAGAAATTGTGGCTGCTCCATCACTGGAGGTTTTTAAGAAGGGATTGGATAGTCACTTGTCTGAAATGGTATAGGTTCTCCTGCTTGAGCAGGGGGATGGACTAGAAGACCTCCAAGGTCCCTTCCAGCTCTATTCTATTCTATTTAACTTACAACATTCAAAGTTACACCAGCCCTGAAATAAGTGACTTACAACCAATCCTCACTCTTACGATCGTTTCAGCAACTCCACAGTCACGTGATCAAAATTCAGGCACTTAGTAACCGACATGTATTTATGAAAGTTGCAGCATCCTGGAGTCAGTCAATGGGAGAAGCTGGATTCACTTAGCAACCATGTGGTTCATTTAACAACTGCAGTGATTTCCTTAACAACCATGGCAAAAAGGTTAAAAATTGGGCATGGCTCACTTAACAACTGCCTTGCTTAGCAACAGAAATTCTGGTCCCAATTGTGGTTGTAAGTCAAGGATCTGTTTTTTATTTTAAGGCTATGTTTACTGGATAGGTGTAGCAGGACGCCTGGTAACTCTATTAAGAAGTATCATGATGGACCAGTAGGTGGCAGCCAAAGCATTCTTAGACATGTGGCAATTGTGACAACTTACCCAGCTGTTCCCACTTCTCTGTTTAAACTGAACTAATTACTCTCTTTTGGTTTCTCTCTTTGCAGGTCAAGGTCTAATATGCAATGTGTGCAACTTTAAAGTTGGCAGTGTTTGTTTTAGTTCTGATGATCCCTGCAGAACAAAGGAAGACCAGCAGTGTGAGACGACCAGAGTTTATAAAGGTACAGTCTGAGAGAGAGAGAGAGAGAGAGAGACAGAGACAGAGACAGACAGAGACAGAGACAGAGACAGAGAGCATTGGCACCTATTAAAAAACTTCAACACCTAAATATAATCACCCATTTTTTATCATGGGCTTCTCGGGGACATTTTCAACTTCTTTGTAGGAGTCAAAGGTTTTAGTGGATAGGATGATGTTGCAAATTAAGTGGCCATATCACTCATGCATAAGCAAGAGGAAAAGATTTAAGTATTTGTTTTAAAAAATGATGAAATCTATTGTTGGACCACACTACTCTTATCAAGTGTTTCCTGCCTAAAAATCTGAATTGTTTACATGAAAACTGTACTGACAACAATGCCCATAGTTGTCAACCTGGTTGGAGAAAATCTGAATAATGTTGGAAAGACAAATCTGGGTGAGAAGGACATGGATTGGGACAGCTGGAAATAAAGCTGCATATATTTACATCTCTAGTTTTATGTAAAACAAGACTATATTTCATTTTATTTTGATAAACATTCAAAATTCTTGGGATTAAATAGGAGCTACCAGGTTCTCTTAAAAACCTTCTTGTGCTACTTCTATAGTTTGGGCTTATAGTAACCTATAAGCTGTTTATTGCCCATCCCTGTTTTAGAGGAATACTTGAACTCTCTCAGTTGTGCAGCTCCTCAATCCACCATGTTGAGACTAAAGTATGGAGTGGAAATAAAACGATAGACACATATAAATAAAGTGAAGGAAACTCAGTTCTTGGTAACTACATGGGCATAAGGATGCCATTATCTTGGCAACAATATGAAAGTGACCTGTCATTGCTTCCTTTGAGGATGTCCCAAAGATGCTTTTTCTTTTTTTATATATAACTAGCTGTACCCGGCCACGC